ACGATTCTTCTTGTGACAGTGATACATGCAATGTCTTCCAAATAAACGTTCTGAACTTTCAATGTTTTACGTATGTAGATGCGGGTTTGGGGATTTGACAGAGTTTACATTGTGACATGATTACATATGACGGTAACCAAACGTTATGAAGCATATTTAACTGTCATAATCGACAGTGCAGTAATTTGTTATGTGTAATACTATTTATTGCATCATAAGGTGAGATTCAAGTGTATACGAACGATATAATATAAAGACGTAATACAAGTGGTAATATCACAAGTTACTTGTGCTTATATAGATTATTTATTCCTTATGCTAAAACTTACAGACGTTAAAATAGCATATATTTATAACAAACTCAGTTATTTATACGCAAGTAGGGTTGGTATCGTAATGCCAATAAATAATTTTATAATGTTGTTACCTGGTTGTCTTTACTATTCCAATCTGACATACATGTCCATTCGGAATGGACATAAATTCCAAACGGACATACAACAATTGCTACTGTCGATAGCTAATTGATTTACTAAGTATACTTACATGTCTTGTGTAATTTGAACCAATAATATTAATAATCGTAACATTACTTTTTGGCAATTCAAATTCTCATATCAAATACATTCTATATATGGCATCATACGAAAGATCCATAGAATATATATGAACATTATAATCTGCCAACAAAACGCAACAAGATAAATAAAGCATTCACGGAAAGAAAAGCTACATACCAATTACATGGATTCCAAATCCAATTCAATACACATGTTATCCTCATGAGGACACATAGATCTACTAAGTCAACATTTGCATAATAAGCATTGATTTTGTATGGTGATTGAATAGGCCAAAAAGCACTTTGTATTGCCACTTCTTCTATTATAAAATAGGAGAGCCACACTCCGCTCGAAATTAGCTAAAATCCTACGAGCCGACAATCAACCGCTCTTCCGTGATTGTTGACTCGGCAGTGATAATCACTCTGGTTTTAATGACATAATATATTCATTTGTTTTCTTATAACAGTTAGTGACCTTTAACATTAGGCTTCCTACCCACAACTCCAGTATCGTTGCGTAGACACTGACCCTGAATAATTAATTAGTCCTCGAATATGCCTTGGTTCTCTACCGTTGGGATTAATTCGGTAGTCTCCTGGTTGGGGGTATGAGTGCACTTATGACTATAACAAACGTGTTTAGAGTAAACGAGTATTTACAGCGGGAGTAATCACGGGACAAGAAGCGATTGCTCTTTTCCGATATAGGGATTAGTGGTATATCGAGTAGTTCAGGGAATAGGATATCAAATGTGTACTTTCAGAATAATAATAGCATACTCGTTTATTAACAATATTATAGAGCCTCCTTGGTCAACTTGAGCGAATTGATGTCAGACTTCTTCAACTGAACTGATTGTACTTTTTGTACATTGTCCTCATTTGCCGCGGATAGCTGATGAGATATCCAATTGGACGCGGACAGAGTTTTCCTCCGAAAAAAATATAGAATTTAGAGCGCTGGATATTAATAATACAATACATAATTGTTAGCATTTCTAACCGTTAATATATACGTTGCATGTAAAGAAGATAACACATCAACTAACAGAATGCTCAATCCAAGTCTGTCTGCTTTGGATTCGGCGAAACTTTCAAAGCGGAAAAATGCATTGCTTATATTTATGTCATCAATGGCCCGTTCTACCATGCCTTGCGATTGAGGGTGACGTGGTAGTCTATATAATGGTATTTGTTATCTTGTGCTTGTGCCATATCAATAAGGTCTACCTATAATTATAATAGACATAATAACAAGAGTAAGCAATAGTTTGATTTATTAGTTACGAAAATCAGTTATTACCTGAACGCGTTGGAGAAATCGATTGACTATGATGGAATTTTACTATCGCGGTACTTCAGTAATTTTGCGCTCTTTAATAATGGGTAGACCCACAAAACGCACTCAACACTGTCGTGAGCTTGCAAAAACCAGCAGATTCCCTGTAATAATGCCATAACCGACAATGTTTTTATTAATAATCACAGACAATGCGATTGAAGATGAGAGTAGTGAATTTGATGAGTATGAATGGAATGATAATAGATTAGACTATTCTGTGGTGTGAAAAAAACGATTGTAACCGTGATAATTGTTGTGCGCGTCATATTCTTGCAGCGCAAGAAGATTTCAAAGCTAACAAACCGCTACTCCAAGAGGTAATTGAGAGCATGGACCACAAAGTTATTTTCTATTCCAAATTCCATCCTGAGTTAAATTTCATTGAGTAATATTGGGGCGCTGTTAAACGATATACACTGGAACGGTAAAGGAAACTCTTCCATCTGCATTTGATTCTATTTCTCTACAAGCAATACGAAAATATGCACTACAGGCAGAATTTGCCATTAAAAAAATATAAGAGTCATAGAGCGGTTCCTGAAACGATTTTTGAATAAATTTAATATAGTTGATCATTGACATTTTTAGTAATAATTTCCCCATGAAAATTGAAACAGTTTTGATGTCCCCCACCATACTTACCATACGGTTGTCTAAACGGAATTGCGCAGCACAAATCAGGCGCGCAAACTTCGAACAAAATTCTTGACTATCCGATGTCCGCATATATCCATATTTCTTGACAAACACAAACTTCCCCATATATCCAGTTTTCTTGACAGCTGTAGAACATAAAATAGTTATGAATACGAATCGTAGCTAATAACTAAAAATCATCGTTCTGATCATATCTTCAGCAAGACGTTGCTATTAGATAGTTCCTTATAATCTAATAAATATCCGATTCAAATATAAACTTTATTATTTCGATTATTCCCTGATAAAAGATACTTAGTATCGTTGGTGAAGCGTAAAATAGAATTGATTCTTGCCAATTAATTCTATTTAGTACTTTTGCATTCAAGGATTATTGTTTAATTAATTGTTAACATTTTAATTCCCTGTTCCGATAGTAAAAGGCCGTGAAATTAATCCCATCACGGAAATCGCTGAGATACTCGAGTTTAAACAATAACCTAGGAAAAGCGCATACAAAAGCGATAATACACATTGTGAGTATTAAATCCTGTGTAAAAGGTCACTAATTGTACGATATTTAGTTTAAAATAGGAAGAGCGAAAGCTTCCGTTGAAATGAACTAAATCCCAAAACGGCTGGTGCACCGCTGCTCTCCTAGGTGTAAGCTAGTCCGACAAGATACAGTAAAAAAAAAATTCAGTTTACCATATAAAAAAAATTCTTAGAGTGCAACATTGGAGAGTTATATAAGATGAGACCCTCAAGAAGGAATCAAGATCCTTCATCAGTTCAAGGGTGAAGGTATCATAGAAACAAAAGTAAAAGATTATTGTGAAGGGCTCAAAGTATGTCAAATTTTATTTATTATTGCTGGAATGCTAAGGGTAGATTTATTTTTTTTACAAAGATGGGTGCAAGTACAAGCACTGATATTTAGAAATAAGGTGAAAATATATGCCACAACATGTGAATCTCATCCACACTGAGAAATCTGCAATTTCACATGTTAATTAGCTATAAATGTTGTCCCTGGTCTTGTCTTTAATCCCCCTCTGATGCTGGATTCAAGCAGCGGTGCTGGCTTTCTCTACCTTCTTCATTTTTATTCTTCTCATCTTCATTAGTTTGACATACCAGTTCTGCAGCTTGGAGTGTCAGAATGGTAATTATGATATTGAGAACATTTATCTCATTTATCATCTCGTTTTTGAAACTACAGACATATTCCTCCGAAATTTTCACAGAGGGATTTTCTGGTGAGCCTTCCCAACGAACAAATATCCATGTCCTTCCAGTTGCCACAATTCCATAAACTGCAGACAGGACAGGACTGTTATCGCGCTTACGCTTAAGTTTCTGAGGAGTGACAGAACTAAGTTAGATGGACAGAATAAACAAACTCAAGGATAAGGTAACAAATTTTGATACCTCTGAAGCAGTATGTAATTGAACAAGATTCTGTGTTAATCCTGCCATAATTGCATGCTGTTTAGCCTCTGTAACTAGAATGGCGAAAGTTGAAAAAAAAACAGCATAATCCAGATTTCCAAATCCACGACTTCCACTAAAGGCTTGCTCAACTGCCAGAAACATAGTTGGATAAATGGTTTGAAGTCTGCTAACTGCTTTGATGATGAAGGGATTGATGAAATTTCTTGTTGTAGCTTCATTTTTGGTGACATTGCCATTAAAAACACCTCTAATATCTTTAAGGTTTTCAATGAAGGCTTTTTTTGCAGTTTCATCTTCATTGAGCAAAAATGTCCTTGCCTCACTAGAAAGGCTAGATGAAAGGTTTTCTATTGTAACACAGAGCATGAATTCATTAGAGCCAATTTATAAGCTACAATATCAAAACTTGATTCATAAGGGATGTTACCTATGTCTAGTTTGTCTAGGTTGTCGAGAGTATCAAAATCCAAATGTAAGAGATTGCGTAAAACTTCAACAGCTGTCCACTTCCCATATGCCTTTGCCACTGTTAAGTGGGTAATACAAAAAATTTACTAATACTCTTTATAAGAACTACTAGAAAAATAGTTGATTGAGCATACAGCTACAGTAATTACAGGCATAGCCACTGCAATATCTTCAATTTCAGGATAAATCGCGGCAATACTGTCTCTGAGATCTTGAAGAGTGACTGTAGTGATATCCACTGGCCAGTTAAATGCTATCCTTTTTGGATCCACAATGACATTAAAACCTTTTTTAAAAAGAGAAAAGATAAAAAAATCAATGGGATACAAAAACATTATGTCATAAAGAAATTGGCAAGTGAGCACAACGATGAGAGCATAAGAGTTTGTGCTGTAAAATGAAATTCTTACTTTGTAAAGGCACCAGATCAGAAATAAGCGACGGCCGGTTCGCTTGAGGCATAAATCAGAACAAGACGTGAGTAGTGATAAAAAAAACGACGTTGAATAGGGTTTTGTGAATCTATTACTTACCAGGTGGCGGCACCACAATGACGTGGATATGCTTCTTGGGAAGGGGACCATCGCCGAAGACATCGGCCACATCATCCATTTCGTCAGCTCGGACACCTTCTAGTGCGCTCTGAATATCGGCATTACTATCATTTTGGAAGGTGGTTCGCTTTGAATTTTGCGATGTATAGTCAATATCCACTCGCCAGATATCAAGTTGGGTCGCATCGTAGTCATGGAAAGCACGCCGGTTTGCTTTCCAAATCTCTATCTTGAGAGTTCCAATTGTTTCATTTTTGTCGATCTTCACTGGGAAAACCTTTGCATTGGGTTCACCGTGAACTATACAAGATAGTTTAATAGCATTGTCATTGTCCATCGCGTCTGCACTAAAATAAAAAAATTGTCAAGGCGTTAGAGTCTTGCCTATTGGCTGAGTTGTGGGGGAAAAAAGATTGTACAACCATTGTGACTTAAAAATAAAGTGTCATGGGCATATTTCTTTATATTAATATGGTGCAGGACCTCTATACCCGATAATCACGTGACCCGAAATATTGGGCATCTTTAAACTCCTAAAACTTTTTACACAGATATTATTTGATTTGACCGGTAACTTTGTAGAGCTTACTGTGAATAACAAAGTTACCGGTCAAATTTTAGGGTTTTAAAGTTCATAAGTTTAATCGAAATTGAAACAATCACGTAATCGTATAAGTAGCATATAATTGGTTAAAATTGGGAAATATATTATTATTATAGCTTTTCCAAGAAAAACATGTTCGATTTTATTATGTTTAGACTTAAATACTTCTGGTTTTACAGATTCACGAGCTCTACAGAAGCACTAAGACTAATGCTTTTACCCAGACTAAGAATAAAAATTTTTTGCTTATCATTATCATATTATTATTGTTCGGACCCATTCTAGGATTTGACCCATTCTGGGATCCTGAAATGGGTTAACCCATTTCGATTTTTGCGATGTGATAATCTATAATCATTTCCGATTAT